ACAGGCTACAGGATACCATATGGTGGGCCGGTGGTTGCAGACACCTGAGAATAGAGTTAGGACCCAAGCCACGGCCACATGAGGCCCAATCCCAGACCGGGGGCCCATCGAATAAGAACCAAATTGGGGATATGGCCAAATCAGGGGAGGAATTGGCTTTCCCCGAGGAATACAATGACCTGAGGGAAGTATTTAGTGAGAGAGGAGTGTGACATTTTGCCACCTCACTGGGTCACAGACTGTGGGATTTAGATCATTCCTGAGGCATCGTTACCAAAACCAAAGATGTATTTGATGACTCCTCAGGAGTTGGCTGAGATGAGGGCCTATATTGAGAAGAATCTCAAGAGAGGCTTCATCCAGCATGCCAGGTCCCGGATAGCGTCCCCCATCTTATTCAGGGAGAAAAAAGATGGTGGGTTACGTGTGTGTGGAGTTTAGGGGGATCAATGTAGTTTGCGGAGAACATCAATACCCCCTCCCCCTCCTAAAAGACATGATGGCTCGATTGTCAGAGGGTTGTTACTTGATGAAGTTAGATCTCCGTGAAGCCTATTACAGGGTCAGGATTAAGGATAGGGATGAATGGAAAAAGGCTTTTAACTGACTCCTGGGGAGTTATCAGTACAGGGTGATGCCGTTTGGACTCCAAGGCACACCGGCAGTGTTCATGCAGTTCATCAATGAGGTGCTGCATGAACAATTATATAAGAAGGTGCTTGTCTATTTGGACGACATCCTCATATACATCCTGTCTATGAAAGAACATGTCCAGTTGGTACAGCAAGTGCTACGCAAACTGTTGAATGCTCACTTATATGTTAAACTCTCCAAGTGTGAGTTCCACAAGATGTCCCTGGACTATCTTGGCTTCAGAATATCACCAAAAGGTGTGGAGATGGACCCCAATAAGGTCAAGGCGGTTTTAGATTGGCAAGCCCCTAAAACCAGGAAACAACTACAAATTTTTGGGGGGGGTTGCTAACTTCTACTGTCAATTTATACCATCATTTGCCCAGGTAGCACTTCCACTCACGGATCTATTGCGGACTAAACACCTGACTAAAACCCCATGTCCAGGTTACCCTCTCACATGGACAACCACCTGCCAAGAGGCAGTTGAACACTTGAAATACCTGTTTGCTAGGTAACTGATCTTACGGCATCCAGACCCTCCAAACCATTCGTGGTACAGGCAGATGCCAGCGATGTGGCAGTAGGGACAGTACTTCTCCATGCCAACGTGGAGGGAACTTTCCAACCATGTGTGTACACGTCACGGAAGTTGAACGACACTGAACGCAATTGGCCCATTTGGGAGAAAGAGGCTTTTGCAGTTCGGTGGGCATTGATGACGTGGTGCCATCTATTGCAGGGGGGGAGTGTCCCCTTTGAAGTATGGACGAACCATAAGAACTTGGAGGCCCTGCAATCCCCGCGGAAACTATCCCCAAAACAAGTCCGCTGGGCACTGTATTTTCGTAGATTTAACTTCAACCTGAAATACATCCCAGGGGGAGAAATTTCCTAGCGGATGCCTAATCCCAAAAACCACAATACGATAGTACCAGGGAGGTAGTAGTACAGGCAATATTGCCAGTACAATCGATCCAAACCAACACAATTCCAACCACTATAGCAGCTTTGCAGAGTTGCAGTGGCGAGGACATATCCCATGTTATTCAAGAAGCCCTCACCACCAACCCTTGGTTTAAGGAGAACCAAGCGTGGCTGACGAAAAGGGAGGGGTTTGCATGGAAGGGGTCCAAACTATATGTCCCCAAAACTGTACGATTAACAGTTTTACAGCGCTGTCACAATGTGCGGGTAGCCGGACATTTCGGCTTCCTAAAAACATTACATTTAGTGAACCGGCAGTTTTGGTGGCCTCAGATGCAAAAGGATATAGAAGAATACATACGGAGTTATGTTATCTGTAGTACTATGAAAATCAGGCCAGGAAACCTCCAGGGCTATTACAACAGCGGCCAATCCAACTCAACCACAGAAAACAAATAGCCATGGATTTTATAGTCGATTTGCCAGCAAGTCAGGGAAACACGTTATATGGACAGTCATTGACTTATTCTCTCTCTTTTTTTTATTGAAAAGTTTTACAAAAAGTTTACATATTTCCCCCCCCTTCCCTACCTCAACCTCCCCCCTCCCCCGTCCTCTTCCCAGAACAAATTACAGGGTATAACCTTCAACAATCATAATCAATCCTAGTCTAAATAATTATAACATTCCACATCTCTTGTTCCTTCAATTCCCTAATTACCCACCTAGTTTTATTACTTAAAGACACACCAAATATCTATATAATCATTCATAACCTATCTGCAATTTCTTATTCCGGTATTTATTTTGAATATAATCTATCCATCTTCTCCAGTCTCTTAAATATCTTTCATTTGAATGATCCTTCAAGTACGCCGAGATTTTTGCCATTTCCGCTAGGTTTGTAACTTTCATTGTCCACTCTTGGATTGTAGGTAAATCTTGCTTCTTCCAATATTGTGCCACCAACAGTCTTGCTGCAGTTATTAAGTTCAAAATTAATTTAGTCTCTATAACTGTACAATCCATAACTATACCCAGCAGAAACAGCTGTGGTGTAAATTTCAACCTCTTTTTAAGAATATTTTGTAAAATCCACCAAATTTTAATCCAAAATGCTTTAACCTTTTTACATGTCCACCAAATGTGAAAATAAGTGGCATCCTCACAATTACATCTCCAACATTTTGGTTGTACATTCGGATACATACGAGATAACTTTTTTGGGTCTAGATGCCATCTATAAAACATTTTATAAAAGTTCTCCCTTAAATTTTGTGCTTTGGTAAATTTCACATTTGTCACCCATATTTTTTCCCACGTTTCCATCATTATTGGCTGTTCAAAATTCTGCGCCCATTTTATCATACAGGGATTCTGGGAGTTGAAGTCCACCCATCTTCAAGCTTCCAAGGTTGAGAAACACTGTATTAGATGGACCTCTTTAAGAGAGTACCCCATAATATCTCCTGCCTTCCAGCTCCGGTGGGTCGGGTGGATGTAATTTGAAGATGGTCCTTCAAGTAACAGAAGAAGCCCCATGGAGAAGGTCCTTCTTCTTGATTACACCAGATGGACCTCCTTAGGAGAGGGGAGAAGGTCTTCTACTTGATCCTAACAGATGGACCTCCTGAGGAGAAGGTCCTTCTACTTGGTCCCCACAGATGGACCTCCTGAGCAAAAGGGAGGAGGTCCTTCTACTTGGTCCTAAGAGATGGACCTCCTGAGAGAAGGGAGGAGGTCCTTCTACTTGGTCCTAAGAGATGGACCTCCTGAGGAGAAGGGGAGGAGGTCCTTCTACTTGGTCCTAAGAGATGGACCTCCTGAGGAGAAGGGAGAAGGTCCTTCTACTTGATCCCAACAGATGGACCTCCTGAGGAGAAGGGAGAAGGTCCTTCTATTTGGCTCCAACAAATGGACCACCTGAGGAGAAGGGAGAAGGTTCTTCTACTTGGTCCCACAAGATGGACCCTCTTAAGAGAGGAGACCCATAACATCTTCTGCCCCTCTGTTCTGGTGGGTCAAGGAGATGTACCTGGGAAAAGAGGGTCCTTCAAATAACATTGAAGGAGCCGCCACGGAGAAGGCCCTTTTTCTGAGTCCCACCAGATGGACCTTCTTAAGAGAGGAGACTCATAACATCTCCTGCCTCCCTGCTCTTCTGGGCTGGATGGATCTAATTGAGAAAAGAGGTCCTTCAAAAAAACCTGGTCTTCCATGGTTCTTCTCCACCGGGGTTCGAATTCAAACCACGTTTCATGGTTAGGGATTCTGGATCCGTTGAAAGATCTGGTTAGATGCACGGCAGGAACTTAAGCCATCTTTTCTCATACAACCCAACAAGGCAGACACAGATTTCAAGGGATAATTAGAACTGCAGAAAAAAGCAACGGCTACCAACCTGCCTTCCATGGAGGACCTGTCTACTGCACCAGTCAAATCACTCTGCTTAACATCTAATTCCCACAACACTCTCAAATACTTTACTAAGACTGCATTACTATCCTTCTTCTCTTCCTTCCTAGTACCTATCTCTTCCCACTTACGACTATAACCATGTCGCTCGTATCTTTACAACTTATAGTTTTTAATTGTTTCCTAGTATGATTTGATTGCTTATTAGTATCCTATGACTATCACTAAGCGTTGTATCTTATGATTCTTGATAAATGTATTTTATTTTTCTTTATGTACACTGAGAGCATTTGCACCAAAGACAAATTCCTTGTGTGTCCAATCTCATTTGGCCAATAAAGAATTCTATTCTATTCTATTCTATTCTATTCTAGTCTAGTCTATTCTGTTCTATTCTATTCTATTCTATTCTATTCTATTCTATTCTATTCTATTCTATTCTATTCTATTCTATTCTATTCTATTCTATTCTATTCTATTCTACAGCTAGTCCTCGACTTACAGCGACAGTGGCGCCCAAAATTTCTGCTGCTGAGCGAGACATTCGTTGAGTTTTGTCTCGTTTTACAACCTTCCTTGCTGCCGTTGTTAAGCAAATCCCTGCAATTGTTCAATTAGCAAGCCAGTCATTCAGTGAATCGGGCTTCCCTGTTGGCCGCTTTTCGGAAGGTCGCAAAAGGGGGAAAATCACGTGACACACACACCCCGGGATATTGCAACCGTCATACATATGAGTCAGTTGCTGTGCGTTGTAAATATGAGTCGGTTGCCGTGCATCTGTGTCGGGTACGCGGCAATGGTTGTAAGTGTGAAAAACAGTCGTAAGTCGCCTTTTTTCCAGCGCCATTGCAACTTGGGACAGTCGCTAAATAGACCGTTGTAAGTCGAGGACTAGCTGTAATGAGTATTGTTCTCTCAAAGCGATGGAAGGAAGAGCTTCAGCTAAAAAAATTGAATGCAGTACTGCCTTCCTCCGCTCAGCTCCAAAAGGCAACAATTTAAAAATATAATAAAGACGCTAGACCTTATGATTTGTGGTATCGTTTTGGCTGCTCTCCCAGGAGCCAGAAAGGTTCAAGGCAACACTGGTTCATCGGCTCCTTGGCCAGGAGAGCACAAAGCCATCCCGGGTCTTGGCGAAATCCGGCAGGGTCACGTCGTCCCGGGTCGTGACCGTCACTAAGCGTTTCCGGTTGTTTTGGCTAAGCGGGATGCGGTCGGACACTGTCACTTGGAGGTCTCGTTTGAGCCTGTGAAGAGAGAAAAAAGAGGAGCTTGAAAAAAATGGGCCAGAGGGTATCAACCAGCTGAGAAAAAGCACAAACCATGGTTTGTTTAATCATTGTTTATTGAAAAGACGTGGTTTATTGTCAGGGTTCATAAGCCAGAAATCATGAATCATGTATGATTCATGGCCTTAGGGCAACTTAGGATGTCTAGATCAGGATTTCAGCTACCAGCTGGCATTCTTTAAGACGGGTGGACTTCGATTCCCAGAATCCTCCACCCGGCATGCTTTAATAGGGGTGCACCTCAACTCCCAGAATCCCCCAGCTGTGATGGTCGTAAGTGTGAAAAATGGTCCTAAGTCGCTTTTTTCAGTGCCGTTCTTACTTCAAACGGTCGCTAAATGGAACATTGTAAATCGAAGACCCCCGGGCATCAATCCGTCGTAGGGACATTTCTCGCCATGTTGGGAGACCGAGAATCCTTTGGCAGGCAAGGATTTAACCCAGATCTAAACTTAGCCTGATGCTGTCTCTCTTCCCAGCCAACCGTCACCATGGCAGCTGGGTGCTAGGTGGCTGCCATGGCAACCAGAGCATCCTTAGTTCCTAAACTTCCCTGCTGGACAAGCGGGAAACAAACCAGGATGAACGACAGAATCCTGGTTGGCAAACGAGAAACCAACAATCGGACCTCCGAATCCGGCATTTCTTAGGTCCTCGATTTACAATGATTCATTTAGTGACTGTTCGAATTGAAAATGGCACTGAAAAAAATGGGATTGAGGACAATTTCCCGCACTTATGACCGTTGCCGCATCCCCCCGTGGTCATAAATTCACATGCTTGTGTGACGGACTCGTATATATGACGGTCGCCATATTCCCCGGGGGTCACATGATCCCTGTTTGCCCCTGTTAGAAAATGGGGCAAAACTCACAACATATGTCTCACTTAGCGACAGAAATTTTGGGCTTTATTGTGGTCATAAGTCGAGGACTGCCTGTATAACTTATCCCTCGCTAAAGGGGTCTTTTGTAGACCAAATATTTGCCTTAAAGCTTTTTTGCTTTGCTTTGCTTTCCTTTCTTTTTTTCTTTTCATTTCCTCTCCACTTTTCTCCTCCTTTTCCCTTCCCTTCTTTTTCCTTTCCTTTCTTTTTTCTTTTTTCTTTCTCCTTTCCTTCCCTGCCTTTTCTTTCCTTTCTCTCTCTCTCTTTACTTTCTCTTCTCTTCTTTTCCTTTCTTTTCTTTTCCTTTCCTCTCCTCCTCTCTTCTCCCTTTCCCTTCCCTTCTCTTTCCTTCTTTTTCCTTTCCTTTCTTTTTCCTTTTTTCTTTCTCCTTCCCTTCCCTTCTTTCCTTTCCTTTCCTTTCCTTTCCTTTCCTTTCCTTTCTTCCTTTCCTTTCTCCTTTCCTTTCCTTTTTTCTTTCTCCATCCCTTCCCTTCTTTCCTTTCCTTTCCTTTCTCCTTTCCTTTCCTTTTTTCTTTCTCCTTCCATCCCTTCTTTCCTTTCCTTTCCTTTCCTTTCCTTTCCTTTCTCCTTTCCTTTCCTTTTTTCTTTCTCCTTCCTTCCCTTCTTTCCTTTCCTTTCCTTTCCTTTTCTCCTTTCCTTTCTTTTTTCTTTCTCCTTCCATCCCCTTCTTTCCTTTCCTTTCCTTTCCTTTCCTTTCCTTTCCTTTCCTTTTTTCTTTCTCCTTCCATCCCCTTCTTTCTTTCCTTTCCTTTCCTTTCCTTTCCTTTCTCCTTTCCTTTTTTCTTTCTCATTTCCTTCCCTGCCTTCCTTCCTCCCTCTTTCTCTTCTCTTCTCTTCTCTTCTCTTCTCTTCTCTTCTCTTCTCTTCTCTTCTTTTCTCTTCTCTTCTCTTCCCTTTTTATTTCTCTTCTTCTTCTTTTTCTCTTCCTTTCTCCACGATTTTACCTGCCGGTTCTCCCTTCCCATCTCCAGATGACTCAAATTCAAGGGTGTGAAGTCATCCTTCTTTCCGGCCAATGAAGGCATCACCGGCAAAAGCTTGACGCATTCAAGGCTGTTTCCCACTCCAAGGTGGCCGGCCAAAAAGGCGAAACTGAGGCACGGAGAAGCTTTTGTGCAAGGTCAGGATGGCAACAGGGACAATGCAGGCAATTGTACACTCGTATGACCATCAGACAGGTAGCCTTCACATTGGAGCTCACAATTTCTCTTGCTAAGGGACACCGTTGTTAGGTGAATTTTGTCCCATTATATGGCCTTTCTTGCCGCCATCGTTAAGGGAATCCCTGCAGCTGTGAAGCGAGTCACACGGTCGTTATAAGTGAACCTGGCTTCCCCATCGACTTTGCTTGCCAGGAGGTCGTTAAGAAGGGAATCACGTGACCCCAGGGACTGCGACCGTCATAAAGATGAGTCGGGGGCCAAGCATTTGAATTTTGATCGTGGGATGCCACAATGGTCGTAAGTGCAAAAAACAGTCATAAGTCACTGTTTTCATTCCTTGGAACGGTCACTAAATGAGCTGTTGTAAATCGAGGACTGCATATTGTTGAAAATGAGATTGAGCTGAGCTCAGAGCCTTTTGGGATATATTGGGTGAGTACCTCATCTCATCCTAGCAACATGGCCCAGGAGGGCTGTAGATGATGGAAGCTGTAGTCCGCCCCTCCTTCCTGGACCTCCACCGAGGAACTTAAGATCTGACCTCTGTTTGTGTGTTCCAATTAGGCATAGATTTTCCAGAAGGAAAATCGGCATTTCCTTCCCCCCCCCCCGCTCCTGATCTTCTTTCTCTTCCTCCTCCTCGCTTCTTTTTTTCTCTCCTCCCTCCCTGCTCTTCTTTTTTCTGAATCTGATCTGCTCATGAACTTTCCAGCAGTTACCTAGCAACCCTCCCAAAAGAGGTTTTCCACATTTATTCAAAGTGGGGCAGCAGATCTCCGACGCCTCCAGCTGTGCGAGAAGATATACGGAGAAAGATGCAACCAAGGATGATTCTGGGGACCCCCAAATTGGATGCAGACGGGTTACAGGTCATCATATCCCTTCCAAATATGTTATTCTATGTTTTGGGGTGTGAACTGGGAAATCGAGCATCCTAAACCAAGGCAAATCCAAAAATGCTAGGGAATTGCTGGAAACGTGGCACTCAGATAAAAACAGCCATCAACAGACACATAGAGGTAAATAATGTTTACACGCCTTTGAAAAAAGATAATAAAATTTAAAACCGACAATGTAGGGACTGACAGAATGAAAACTGTCAGTCCTTAATTGCACAACACATGGACAGATTCAACCATAGTTCCAGCTGGGAAATTTTGAGCATCCTAGACCAAAGCAAGCAAAAAAAAAACAAACATTAGAGAATTCCTGGAAGACTGGCATGCAGACGAAGCAGCTATCAACAGACACGTAGAGATAAATAACGTTTACATGCATTTGAAAAAAAGACAATAAAATTTAAAACTGACAGGGTAGGGACTGTAACAGCCACTATGTAGGACAAACAGGGAGAACACAGCCATGAATCCCAGGTAGCAACCGGGAATACCAACAAGTGGTCAGAAGACACAACGAGAACTCCTTAATTGCACAACAATGTGGACAGATTCAACTGTAGTTTCAACTGGGAAACTCTGAGCATCCTGGATCAAACCAAGTTGGAAAATGTTAGATAACTTTTGAAAGATGGCATTCAGACAAAGCAGCCATCAACGGACACAGAGAGATAAATGATGTTTATACGCCTTTGAAAAGAGACAATAAAATCTAGAACAGACAAGGTAGGGATTGTAAGAGCCACTAAGTAAGGACAGTTGGGTAGAAGGCTAGCAGAGCGCATCCACGAACACAAACAAGCAGTCCCAAGGCAAGATTCGAACCTTGTGGTGAAAAACTGAACAAAAAAGCTGGTAATTCTTTTTCGCGTTGTGTTAACACCTCTGTTTTTGCAAGCCCTCCGCCGCGCCGTCACAACTTCAGAAGTGCAAATGAAAGTCTAAATAAATGGATTTAGGATCGCACAGAACTGTGGCTTCGAGTCTCACACTTTGAAACTTCACAGTTTCACAGCAAAAGTGGAACAGAGACAATGTATATCTGTGTGTTTGTGTTAATTATACTGATTTTTCTTTCGTTAGGAATTAAAAACGCAATTAATTTTAATTAAAAATTAAAAATTTTTGGGCCATGTGGCTAATAATGCTATTTTAAGGTTCTCCATTAAGGTTCTCCATTTGTAGGGTTCGTTTTTTGTAACTGAAGCCAATTTAGTCTAGGCGCAAGAGCAGGGAGACGGGAGTTCTAGTTCTGCCTGAAGCATGAACATTAACAGTTAGTTCTAGTTGGTGAGTTCTAGTCCCGCCTTAGGCATGAAATCCGGATGGGGGATTTGGGGCCTGCCCAACCCACCTCACAGGATCGTTTTTCTGGGGAAAGTAGGAGGAGGAAGGAGATTTGCTCACTCCCTTGAATTATTTGTGAAAATAATAAAGGCCAGATAAAAGTCTCACCCACACATAAATTCGTCAATAAATCAAATATTTCAAATAATGGAGGATTAGGGCCATCAAATCTCAAAGACGCTTCTTTGAGGACGACCGAAATTTAAATATAAATTAAATTATTTTACTATAAATATTGCCCCAATTCCATCTCTGTTTTCCACCTCTTTAGTGAGAAATCTCCGTCGCTAAAGGTGAGACTCAAACATTTTTCTAAAATGATCCAAACGATTCCTTGAAATATTACTCTGCAGCTGGTCCTCAACTTACGACGGGTTCACTTAGCGACCATTCGAAGTTAGAACAGCCCTGAAAGAAGTG